TGAGATTTCTTCCGCCCATCCATGAATATGAAAATATGCCGCTTGTTTCTCTCGAAGAAGCTGTCAAGCCGGTCATCTCTCTCATACCAGATATCCCAAAGTATACGTGTATGGCCACGCAGGGGTGTAGGAATCCACCTCATGACATGACTAAAGATGAATCAGCTGCTATCACGCTTTATTCAATGGGATGGGAACCACTCGATCAATGTCTACATGTTGCCTTGAATGTAGCTTTGCGTTCATCAGATAGACGACATCTCAAGCCGTGGCTTCTCTTTCTCAAACTCCTTCTAACTGCACTCTCTCGTCTTCCATCCGTTCTCCATCGTACTGTTTTTCGAGGAGTTAAATTGGATTTGCATGAACACTACAAGCAAGGAAAAGAAATAATATGGTGGGGCTTCTCATCATGTACTACCTCAATTCAGGATTTAGAAGTTGAACAAGCTTTGGGTAAAACGGGTTCAAGAACAATATTCTCCATCGAATGTAGTTCAGGAAAAGATATTCAAGAACATTCTTTTTATTCAGGAGTTGATGAAATACTTTTTCTACCTGGAACTCTATTTCAAGTTGTCGCTTGTCTTAATCCTGCTCCTGATCTACATTTGATTCATCTCAAAGAAATAGAACCACAATTTCCACTTTTAAGTCGAATTACTTCTGCCATTTCACAAAAATCAACGATGGTTCGTAAGCGAGGAGGCACTGAAATATGTAAGCATTTTAAATTATTCCACTAATCTAATCTACTTTTGATACAATACAAAATTGATCAGTGTATTCTGATAGAGTAAAGAGAACATATTTAGAATACGTCAATGGTTTGATTTTACTTTTACGACAAGCTGATGTAATGACCTTTTTCATACGTTCTATACAGTTGAGGATCACATCTCCAACTTAGATGATCTCTATTGTTTTTGAATAAAGCGTATGTGTACGAGCCTTTTCTCAAAAGTTCCTAAGAAAAAATATAGAATGTCTACCAGCATGCCCATTTTATTCACTCAAAAACTTTAAATTAATAACATTTTTTATAAGAAACATCAATCGTTAGCTTTGAAGCTATATTGAGTCTATTTTGCTATTGAACAAATAAGTTTTAAGCATGAATTTCGATCAATATTATTTTATTCTTCTTTTAAACAATTTCGAGGAGCTACCTTAATTTTTATTGAATAAATTAGAAATTGACATTTTTTCTTTCGAACATACATTATAGAAATGAATAATTATAACTATACAATGCGTTCTATGCTTAGCAAATGGTACCTATCTTTCCTGTTTGAGTAATCTAAAACGTACACTTTATGAATGTCTTCGCCGTTGTGCTTCATGATTACTTATAGTTGAAGATTTTATTAATAATATTATTGCATTCAATAGGTTATTCAAAACCAACACAAACCGAAATAATTGCTGGTGCGCGTCCTTTTGAAGTTATTGAAATGGACATAAATTTTCCCAAAGACGAATCGGATACAAAATCGGCCAACTAACATGCGAATGATGAAAGACTATTATATACTTTTCTGTATTGACATGATTCTTACAAATTTTTATTAGTGGAACATTCTATTGAATATAAAGTTTTCTCATTGTTCTATTACATCAAAATAAACCTACAAACTCAATTAATTCTTAAATATGGCACTGATACCATTTGTTAAATTCGTAACTATTCTGAGATTGCACTAGTTGAAGAGTGTGAGTGTGGGATGTAGTTTTCTTCTTTATAAACACAGACACTCATATTCCACACATCCACATCCACATTCAATTATTCATCGTATTGTTCACGTCTCTAAGGAAGATTTTTGTTCATAAATTTTCCAATCGATTGTAGAACGCATGTTGATCAAAAATAAAACTTTCGAAGTCCGATGGATTTGAGAACCTATCGATGCTGAAAAATATCAGATGAAATGACATTGATTCGTAGAAGATTACTGCGAAAATCTTTCAATAGCATGAAGTCTTCCTTTGATTTCGATGAACAACTTTAGACGATTCGATCGATTTTAGAAGAATTCTCAACAAATAACTATCGTTATTCAACGAATATGTTCAGTTTTTCAAATAGACAAACGTTTGTATGATCAGTATTAAACATCACTGAAGGAATGTTTTTGAATATCTCTAGAAAAAAATACTGTGCCATTTTCCTTTCAAACAAAAAATGCGCATATTCATCATTTTTTAAAAGGTTTCTCTTAAGAAAAAATAAAAAGTACACTGAATTTATTTGTTCTTCTCTTCAGTCAATTTTTTTTTCATAAGTCACTTTACATATGTATATACATGTAAATTAAAAAAAAGCTTGCACAGAAAAACAACCATAAATTTCGTCCAAGCCATTTCTATCTGACAATATTTGAATTTTTTCCAATAGTTCTCAAGATGACATCATGGAAAATCATCGCTATACCAACAGATACAATTCCAGAGTTAGAATATGGTAATGAAGATTTCATTGAAATTCATTTAGACGAACGATATGATGTGGGAGAAAATATGCAATTGTGGAGAATATGGGAAAAGAACGATATCGATACAGTCATAGCAGAAACAAGTTATAAAATGTTTTATGATGCCGATAAATGTATAGATTTCATTACATCGTATCAATGGCGAAAAGTTTTCTTGACATTGACTGATCATTTCAGTTATCTAATCGAATTAATTCATCATTTACCACAAATTGTCTATTTTTATATTTATTCTCGATCACCAGAGAGAATACCCTACACAACAATACGATATTCAAAACTTCGAGCTATTGTTCAAAAAGATTCACCAAATATTGATGAACAATTACTAAAAGATATTGATATGTTTCGACAAGATTTAATGCCAATGAATGTAATCAAGCCGATTAAACGAAAAACCAAACTTTTAATTCAAGAAGCAGTTAATCTCGACACATATCGAATTATTTGGCTAGTAGATAAAGAAAATAGTACAACAATTAATACATCATCAATACCCGACATAAACGTTCCGTTAAGAATATTTTATAGTTTTGATCAATCTATTGATATGATTAAATCCTCTGCTGATACAAAATTTTTTTTCATTTCTTCTCATTCAAATAATCAAATGATTGTAGAAAAGGTCGCCGAGTACTGCCAAGTAATTACTATTTATATACTGCAAACTGAAGCAGATTTAACTGGAAAATCACAGTTTTTCCATCCAAAACTCAAGGGAATATATTCGGATATTCAGAGTTTGGCTGTAGAATTATCAAAAGAATACAAACATCGTTTAAATTATTCCGAAGTGCCGTTAAGCGTCTTTCATCGAGATAAAAATGAAAAAACCGTTCGAGATTTAAAAAAAGATAATATGAAATTTTTATGGCTTCAATTATTAATTGATATTCTTATCCGAATCCCACATAATGATCAAGCTAAAGATGAAATGTTTGATGAATGTCGAAGACATTTTGGAATTTCTGGCAATGACGATAACGATGAAAACATGATCGATGCAGAAATAAAGAAAGATCGTGCCAAAGCAGAAAAGGATCTGGTCAATTTAGAGAAAAATTATAAATCTAGTGAAGCTTTAAAATTTTATACAAATGATTCATTTCTATATCGTCTATTTAATCGAGCTTTTCGAACTGAGAATATTGATTTATTATTTATCTTTCGATTTTTCTTAGCCGATATCTACAAACATTTACAAAAATTACATTCTGAACAATTTCCTGATAAGCTGCCACGTACGGTGTTTCGTGGACAAGTGATGACCAGTTCAGAATTTAATAGTATCAAGGATAATATTGGACATTTAATGTCAGTGAATACGTTCTTTTCTACAACTACAACTCGTGATGTCGCAGAAATGTATTCTGGCTTAGGTGAAGATGTTAAGATGTTATCCGTGCTATTTGAAATTGAAGTGGATACTACTCGTTCAATGATCAAGAGACCATTTGCTTCAATCAATGAGCTGAGTAAATTTTCTGATGAAGATGAAGTAGTATTTTCGGTCGGATCCATGTTTCGTATCAAATATGTTGAAGATCAACGACTCGTCAGTGGATATTGGTATGTTCAACTAATATTAGTCGAAGATGACAGTGATATGAGCGAACTTCGGAATGATTTAGAGCAAACATTTTGCGATAAAGGGAATTTACGTAGTCTAGGTATAGCCCTCAGAGCTATGGGCGATTACGAAAGAGCAGAACGTTATTTTCAGATGTTACTTGAATATATTCCTGAAGGCCATCATAATATGGGTCATATTTACTCAGATTTGGCAATGATTGCTTTTGATAAAGGAGATTATCAAACTACAATTCAACATGATGAGAAAGCTTTAAAATACTTTACAGTAACAGATATTTATGACCAACGAGAAAATATTGGCCGTGTATATATTCAGCTCGGTTCAACTCATCAACAACTCGGTAATCTTGATTTAGCGATGAAATATTTTACCATGGCGATAGATATTCAAAGGTCACCTAAATCACTTTCATATACTTACAATCAAATGGCTCTTCTATATACAGACAAAGGAGAGAAAGAATTAGCTTTAGAATATCTTCAAAAAGCATTGAATATTGAAGAACAAGTATTAAAAAGAAATAAATATGAACCCCTCTTAGCAACAATGTATAATAATATTGGTAATATATATATACAATTAGGTGATGATGAAAATGCTTTGAAATATTTACATCATGCGTTAGATATTCATCTGAAAGGTACTGTATCTACTCATACAAATCTTGCTGCAATTTATGCTAATTTGGGAAATATCTATTTGCGGAGAAAAGAACTGAAGAAAGCATTGGAAGTATTAGAAAAAGCATTTGAGATCGATACTCAAAAATTTGGGAATAATCATGAATCATTAGCCCTTGCACATAATAATATAGGTGCTGTCTACCGCGAAATGAATGATCTACCGAGAGCTGTGCATCATTCAGAAACGGCTCTAAGAATGCTTTTACGATCACAAGCGGGAAAAAATTATGCTGACGTATCTAAATTACAATTTAATCTTGGAGTGGTTCAATTTATTGCAGGTAATAACAACAAAGCATTACGAATCACAGAAAAAGCATTACAAAATATGTTAAAAATACTTCCAGAAAATCATGAAACGTTTGCTAATACATATTTATTGTTGGCAAAAATATATAAAAAAGAAAAGGACATGATCAATGCTTTGAAATTTATGGAAAAAGCGATTGAAGTTGCTCGCGTTGCCATTCTACCGAAGAATAAGCTGGCATTCGAACGTTTTCAGCTCCAAATTGATCTGTTAAAAAATAGTCAATATGGCGAGGGTTTAGGATTTCGACAAGCAGATGGAACAATCCCTTGTATGCCGGATAATTCTGATCAACAAGATGATCTTATATCGAATTGTTATCAACAACTTCAACAGATTGCATCAGATGATATTATAAACCGTCTTCAATTACTCAATAATATTGCAGCAATGTACTGGAGAAAAGAAAATTTTTCCATGGCTATAAAATATTTTAATGAGGCGATTGATATTTTCAATAGAAATCAAAGCTCGGATCAATATTTTCCAGAACAACTCGAAAATATAATAATAGCGAGTTATTTTGGTATTGGTCAAGTATATTATCAACAAAAAGATTGGGCAATGTCACTGAAGAATTTGCAAAATGCACTTGATTTTGCTTTCAAACAAAACAAAGATTATTTATTCATCGCTGAAATTTATCATACGATGGGCTTATGTTACACAGATCAACTAGACTTCTATCGAGCGATTCATTACTTCGAATTAGCGATTTCTAATGCAAAGAAGAAATTACCTAATGATCATCCCAAAATTCAAATCTATGTTCATAATTTACGTCAAGTGAAAAACTGACTAGGGTGTGTATGAGGGTGTGAGTCTTGTATATTTTCACATCCTATGATGACTAGATTGACAAATCATGGAAATTGAAAAAATAATTGATGCCTAACATCATTCGTTGAAATATTTGATGGTTTTCGCTAACATCCTGATTTACATAAAACTGTTCAACTTTTATGACGATCGCCCTTTCAACTGAGAACGTTACTTATACTATCCTTAATAGAAACAAACTAGAAGACAGCTGCCTCTACTTTTAATTTAAAAGAAAAGGAAAAGAGTTCCTTTGAAACAATGGTGGGTGTGGGTGTGAGTGTGGGTGTGGAGTGTGGGGGTGGGGGTGTGGGTGTGGGTGTGAGGGTGTGGGTGTGGGTGTGAGTCGCTGTGGGCAATGGTGTAGATATATTACAACAGAACACCTATACCCACACCCGACACTCACACCCATTCGCACCCACACCCCACACCCACACGCATCCACACTCACATCCCACACACACCCATAGCCGCACCCGAATATGTTAAACTCACGTCTACCCTTACCATCACTCTCTGATCAGCCCATACTCAATTGAGAAGCATTCATCTATAGCAGAGTGCCATGATTATTGTTTTAATTCAATGATAAAGCTTGTCT